TTATCACGACATTGACATAATTCAGCGAATTATCATAGACTCGCTGGCAGGATTATGTCGTGAAAATGGATAAAGATGCTTCAGTGAAAATGGTATTTGAAATGGTAGTTGGAAGAAGAATGCGTAGAGGTAGCCCGTATCTTCGATGGAGTAATCAAGTTGAGGGGGCACTAATCAGACTTACTGCACGAGACTAGAAAATGCATGCAGCAGAGGTACCTGCAGACATGCTGTTTCGGGCTGAAACCTGGTAATAGGTTGTTATCTCTAAATAAGAAAGCAAGTAGGGTTTAAGTATCTAATATAGATATGATTTGGTCAATTTGAAATAAATACCTAAATACCTGTATTTCGCATCTGCATTTCATTTATACAACGTGCTAAACGTAATTCTAAAGTCAATTTGTATGAGTATATAGAAAACTGCTTGTATTACCTTTTTCAAGCCATGACAAGCTCTATGCCTGCGCTGTAAGGTTAACGTAAATCAGAATACTCGGAGTATAGAGGTGCTCAATCAGACATCGATTCGTAAATCGAGAGCGGTGGAGAAACTTGTTGAAGGAGGCAAAGATTGGACAACGTTGTAGTGCTGATGATAAAGATGTATACCATTGTATACATCACGTTACAATACTAGTGGTGAATCAGAACAATCGTAATATAGAGGTGCTGATGACATCTGCTCGTAATCGGGAAGGGTTGAAAGACTTGTTGCATTGATAAAATGGACTGATAAATCAAATTTAGGGAAACGTATTAATTACTTCATCGCTTATCACTAAGTAGTGGACATGGCAACTTGAACTATAACATCAAAAAGAAACAGCGGTGCATATATTGTGTCAATGTCCAGCACTGGCAAGTAGGAGGAAGACTGTTTTGGAACATCATTGAGTTGGTGATGACTTGGCAGGAAACCTCAAGCTAAATGCGCTGTTTGCATTAACAAAAGATGTAGTTATGCGACACACCAACTTTAACTTAATAACGACATTCGAGAATCGAAGGACGAAAAAGGACCCAAGTAGTTTCGTGGTTTACTTCAGCTAATCCTTCAGTTCAGTGGGGCCACTTGTTGGACAGTGCGCTGTCCCAACGTCCCACCATATAAATAAATACTTCATTGGTTCGCTTTTAATTATGATATTTGTTTTTATGAATGAAATGTCGTTATAATTAAATTGACCCACATAGTTACGTATATAAAACTAATTAGCTCTTCAAAGGACTATTTGTTTGATGCTTAAATCTTAACTTTGTAAAACTAAAGGCTATGAGTTTTGTTGTAGTGTAAAGCATTGATCTTCCGAAAATATTAAGACTATTTTTGCCCAACTCTTTAGTATCTTCTCTTCCTTGGCGAATCCTTTAAATAAAAGAGTTCTTGAAGAATCACTTAATTAAAAGTGTAGTTTAAATTACTCTTTATATTCATAGTATCTTAAACTGTTTCTTACGAGTATATACTTCTACTTAAGTTCAAATGAATAAAATCTCAAAATTAAGACTAGAAAATTCTTCTCACACATTTGCTGACAAACTGAAAACTTTTTTACTTACAAACAACGTATCAAAGCGGTTTCTTTTAATTAATTAACTATGTTACATGATGTGATGAACATGTAATGCAAATATTTGTAATTCGTAAGTCGCACAAGTTGGGTTCTCCTGCACTTTTATAAATGCATACAAGGAATAATTTACCGCTTTGCTCTGTGGTTGGAAGAGTTAGTAGGGGAAAGGAATTAAATTAAATTGCTCGGTAAAAGGAAAAAGTTTGAACTAAATTAGGAGTGCTCAGCTCAGATACATTTTACTATAAATGTATCTTGTTGTAGAAAAA